TTGGACCGAATTGATCAGTCTCTGTTGGCATATGGTATCGTGTGTGGATGCCTCGATATTACCTGTGCTCTTATGATAGTAATGATGGATAGCGGCTGTCGTGGCTCGGTGGTGCAGTGGATAACGCTCTGGCGTTTGAAGCGATCGCTCCCGAGTTCGAATCCCAGTGGGAACAACATCACTCACCGGGAAGCAGGTACATCCAGCTGATGAGTCCTAAATAGGATGAAATGCGCACCCTGGATTCCACTGCTAGCCACTATCTATCATAACTATCATAAGAGCACAGGTAATATCGAGGTATCCGCACAGGATACCATATGCCAATAGAGACTGATCAATTCGGTCCAATCAACGACTATATGATATAAAAACAATTATATGTACTAATTTCTGACTGTTGTTGGAGAAATTTGATAAAGAGTCTTCCCATACCTGTTCTTCATTAGTCGTTAAGCGATTCTGAAAGCAAAAACAGGATTCAGTAAATTCATAAATTTCCATAGAACTCAGCAACTAAATACTAAACACACTTGAGGCAGTACAAGAAAACTGATATACCTACGATCATCCACTCCAAACTTTTCATTAATATATGACCTCTAAAAATTGTTCATCTCCATGTTACTGATCTTCTAGTTTAGCCCTGTGTACTTATGTCAATTTTCCTGGATTGATTCTTTGTATGCATATAGCGAAGCGTGTAGATTATCTAGCTGACGAGTTCCATTGAAATTTATTAATCCTTTCTTTAATGTTCGCTGGTTGTCTTAAATTTTTTTTCACGAATCGAAAAAGTAATTAATACACATATAACCTGAACGAAACCAAATCTGCTCTTCGCAGATCAGTTTCCGACTTATTTTTCCCAGCCTGCATAGTATGATGGCAGCCAATAATTAAAACGCTATGATAGGCAGACTGGTACGCGGATCGTTATCGTATCTGTCTCACAAACCCTTTTTAGCAATATGTCAGTCTCCCATACCTTTTCAAATAATGTTGTCAGTTCCTTGACTACAGTTTCACCCTCATCCCTAAAAGATGTAGGGACTGAGTTATCTGTGCCGAGTGCTTTATAGTGCTTTACAACTTAGAATTTCCCATATATCTCCGCTTCACTATGGGTGTTTAATGTTAGCTGACCATTGACCACAAGACACTCAGGTGAAAGTTGTTGAAATTGCAGGCCAAGTGAAATGTTATTCGAAGTGCATTCGAAGCGCATTATGCTCTGGTGTATCATCTACTTCACAAACCGTCTAAATGACACTAAACTTTTCTTCATTGGTGGCTCAGATGAGTTGGAATAGCTTTCGACAGTTTTGCAGACGCACCTGTTACTTCCATCTTATTCGCATGTTCTGACCACTAGACCTCACAGTTCCTACACAAATGCTGTTTCATCTATGGCATAAGGTATGTATCCACAATGATGATCACTGAGTTACAAAAGTCCACAGAGACCCAAATACAGATCTACTCGCCGTTTTCACTGCATCTTGCGAGTGCAGATATTGCTAATCCATACTTCCTGGAGGTATGAAAGACAGCCTTGAATCTAGTTCGATTTGATACTTAGTTATAATACTTAGTGCAACCGATTTACTGATGTTAACTTACTTCGAATGACTATTTCAATGACCGCCAAGACGCAAGATTAGTGAAATGGAGCGTGATCAAAGTTGAGATAGGTGCTCCAGAAGCAGCACTATTCCTGAATATGCCCATGTCATCAATAGCTAATCGCGGTATAATCTGTTTGTATCCAGAGTGTCAGAGTAAGGTAGCTACATGGCAAAACAACAATGGTTGTATCAAAAGTTGGTACTTTCTAGAGACAGATGATCTCCGCAGAGCAACAGAAGATGCTTCACAACTGAATAAACTCCACTGATCTTACTCTGGGCTTTGACGCTCAGTCTATGAATTCAAGTCCTCAGTATCTGGTAGAGGTCACTGAGTTGATGATAGGTTTCATCCTTAACAGCATTCGAGCTGCAGTCAGTCGACGAATAGATGGAAATAGAGAAGGGAAATTGTTTACTTTGCCAGTTACTTCTGATACTCAGGCAACTGTTGATGGTGATCTAGTCAATGAATGTATATTTAACTCTGGTACTCATGTGTTACCAACACTAGCAAGACCGACTATTGGCGTCACAGGGTCCCCACACAGGAGTATTGTAAATACACTTTTCAATCCAACAGATGAGAAATTTTTTCAAAGAATTTCACTGAGATTTTGTGTATGGCTTTCTGAAACAAAGCATCCATCAATAGCGATGTTTTTCAGAGTTTTAGCCAAACTTGTCTGTTGTCCAATCTACTATAAATTTCGAATGTCGAAGGTGTACAGCTTAAACGACACACAATTTCAGATTATTCAAACAGATAACTTGTTGAAAGACGGTTTTTTTCTGGAAGCAATGACTTAGCGACTCAAAATTATATGTAAGTACACTAGAATTTTAGTCAATGATAAATAACTGAGTGAAATAAGAATATATACAAAATGAATATAAAAATGAAGTGAACTTCACACGTAAAAACAATACCGATATAAGAAGAATCTGTTAAATAATTGAGCAGTCTATTCGTCACAGGATGATTTGATAAGTATTAGATGTACTATATTGTTTATTCTGATTCAAAATTTGTATGTAGGTTGTCATACCATCTGGAAACAACAAATCAAAGACAAGTTGTGTAAAAAAAAGTTATTAAGTGTAGAAGGTATCAAATGGAAAAATTAACAAATCGAAGTACCTATTAATGAAACTGAAATAAGTGTTTCCATGCAATGCTAAGTTTTCTATTTTACTCTAAGTATTATCAAAATGTAAACAAAAAGCTGTGTACAAAGTATTCATTTTAAATTTATTCCTAAAAATAGTAATCTCTTCGTCTCCAATCCCAGTAGATTTGGATTGAGATGCAAAGTCCTGACTAGGTAACCAGTGTCAGTATGATCAAACAATAATAACACGTCATGGATTCATATGACAGCTGAGCAAAACGCTTGATGTTTGAAATGAAATAAAAATCCAATCAACAGTTGGGTTCTTTAGGTTATTTGGTAAAGCATCGGGCCATGAACATAATAGTTGATAGTTAGAATTCTGTGCTAAATAGAATTTTCATTTCACCTTCAATTATCACTCAGTATCACTAAAAGTCTGCCAAACTACAGCTATCTCAGATAGTCAAACTGATAAGATAATCTTTATCAGTGTAAAAATCTAAAACCATGTATTTATTGTCTAGATTAAAATCCCACGTACAAAATTTCTTTATAAGTTAGTAGGCATTAGAAAGCAGTGACTTAATAGCTTGATATTTTTTCCGATTCTCATGGGAAATTTTACCTACCTTATTCTCAGGAGGTAGGCATAGTTTACCTTCCTTTCTCTCAACAATTAAAACTCATAAATTCTAAGCGGAAATTCAAAGTAACACCTAATGTTTGGTATTGTTAAATGAATAAAAGATAAACGTGAGTTTTTGTGAAATTTGTGTGTCTATGGTGTATGCATAATGTTGTCGGATTCCCAGGATCGAACACATCAATCATTCTCTATCAATACAGACTAGTGATGGCAAGCAACTTCAAACTGATCCAAAACGTATACATATATATATATATATATATATATATATATATCATTGCCTAGTGCTTTTCTTTTATGATATGTATCACGGAAAGAGTAATATTTACAAAACCAAACACTGGGTACTAATCAACGAATCTAGCGACATAAGTGCATAAACAATACTGATATCTCAATCAAATCGGGTACTTACATATAGTAAACATTGTTTATAGCTCTTGTGGCATTTGAAGCGACGAGTATTAGGTTCAAATCCCAGTGAGAACAACATGACTCACTAAGCAACAGGTACACAAGTCTGATGAGTCCCATACACGGTGAAACGCACATCCTGGATTTTAACACTAAACACCAAGAGGACTACAATATTTATTATTATTACCACTATTATTACTATTATTTTCCCTTGGGTTCCTAGTGGAAAATAGGGCTTCAGTAGCATGTCACCATTGCACTCTCTTCTCTGCAATCTTTTCAACCTAGCGCCACAGCTGCCTAGTAGCTTTCATTTCTTCCTTACATGACCCCCTTCATGTCACCCTCACCTCGGACACTCAACTCGTCGTTCCTCATTTCGGTTTCCTTCGAGCCCCTATCATGGCGTGTGATGTCGCCAAACCGTCTTCTCACTGTATGTCCAATCCAATCCCATTCCATCCATCTCCACTTCCTTCGTCTGCATATTTGTTGGGTGGTAGGTTGTTGGTTGTTTCGTTGCGGGACCAGGCAGAGTTTTTGCTTGCTTATTCTTATTATTCTGGTCATCTGAGCTTCCGTATCTAACGTAAGCAGCTGTTTATGATGTATGTCCGTAGTTTGTTGGAAGTGCTTTCCGTGACGCGCCAAGTTGCTGAACCATATAGAAGCACTGACTTACTTGACTGGCACTGGTGTTGAAAATCCGATGTTGTGCACGCTTTATGTTGAGTGGAGTGCAGTAGATCTCCACACTGATTTCCGGTTAATGATAGCCTGTCTTGCTGTGTTTCCGATCCTGGCTGACTTTGACATCCTCATCTGTGCCACCACCGCCTGTAGTTGAACGATGCTGTCTAGGTGGGTAGATGAAAGAGGCTACTTCCTTTCTCCCATTGATAGTGATTGGTGTCTGTTGTTGGTGGTGTTGGTTGGGTATCTTCATCACCTCTGTCTTCTCTACGTTCACCTGAAGGAAGTCCCGTCTTCTTTCGCTGCTTCGCTTCTTCTGTCAACTTGTTGGATTTTGCCTGTAGATCTTCGAGTTTGTACGACATTAGACACAAACCTGATTTCATACTTTCAATCCCAGCAGTTTACCTAATACATATTATCTTCCTGCGTAATTACTGCCTTAATTTACAATCTTTATATATATTGCAATGAGCTTCTTTATTTATTTATCCGTTTTAGGCATGTGAAGCTATCAATGGTACATGCGTTACACAATTAGATGGATTCTACCTAGAAGTAGGATTATCAGTTGTATTTGGTTTAATTGTCTATCCTTTGCTCCTTTATCCATTGGCTAGTCGACTAGATGCTCTACCAAGTTCAGCTTATTCATTTCGACTTACAGGAGAAGGATGTTGTCAAAGGAAAGTGAAACAACATAGAATACCTTTAGATGAAAATGTAACTGAATGTTCACAGTTGAGTACTGCATAAAAACAATTCACCTTTGTAGTCATGATTCCTTTTTTCCTCACACCAAGCATTAATTGAAAAAAATCGAAAACAAGCATACACATTGAAAAAGATCATTTGTATCGACTTCTTTGGCCAGCGCTGGCTGCTTTCATCTAACCATATATATATATATATATATATATATATATATATATATATATATATATATATATATATATATATATATATATATATATATATATATATATATATATATATATATATGAAGATACAAAATTTTCATGTTTTCATCGTTGTTGTTAATGACAAGTTAACTTGTTGATGACTTCCCCTTCTCAAATTGAGTGTTAACAAAAACTAAGTAAATATGCACGATATTGTGTAATCATTTTACAAGAATTTGATTTTAAATAATACAACACGTCTGTAAATCTGATATATTTACGAAATTTTACCATTACTACTACCATTAGTGTCAATTCTGTCACTATTACTACTACTACTACTACTACTACTACTACTACTACTACTACTACTACTACTACTACTACTACCACTACTACCACTACTACTACTGCTACTACCCCCACTATTACTAGCACTCACACTACTACTACTTGGTATTCGAACTTCTATTATTACCAGTAGTACGACAAGCATCACTGTTGTTACCATCATTGTCTATCTAGATGAAACCCTTTCTTTTTTTACAAAGAACTAAATAATACACTTACACACACATCTCTGTGTGTATGTATATGTGTGTGTAGACAATCTCATATTGATTTTTAAGTGTATGCATAGTTCTGTAATGCCTTTACCTACATCACCTGAAAAACAATCTTGTATATTGCATAATCATAATTTGTACATCATCAATGGTAATAATTAAATAACGTAACAAAATAATGAATGTAAGAGTGAAAAAATAAAAGAGAATATGTTGTTCAACTTTTTACAAAATTGACTGTGATAACTGTTTTCTGATGGTAATGATGGCGTGATCAGTTATTATAAAAAGCAACTAACTATAGTCAGGCATTTTTTATGTTGGTACTTGTATTATGCCGTCGTTGGTCGAACTGACTTGATCAGCTTCCAGCACGAATGCCTCGATATTACCTGCGTTTCAATTTTACGTTAATGATGAATAGCACTAGAATCTAAAACCAACATTCTATTCTATTTGGAACTCCTCAGCTGGATGTACCTGCCTGACAGTCAGCAATGTTGGTGCCAATTAGCTTTGAACCCGGGACTGATCACTTCAAACGTTATCTATCCCCCAGGCCATCGAATCACGATAGCTTGAGTTCGAGTCTTAGTGGGAATAATATCACTCACTGAGAAGCAGGTAAATCCAGTGACGAGTTCCAAACAGGACGAAACCCATGTCCTGGATTCCACTGCTAGCCACAACTAAGTCATTTATAATCAAGTATAATAGTGCTAAGTAAATTTCATTTTCTGGGAATTTTCCGGAAGAAAATCGTACATTCATACCTAGTTGTAGATAAATTTCAACAGACGGAGTGTATGCCCACAGCTGTTCAAAACGTAAGCAGAGCAAATATCCCTCAACCCAGTTAATTATAAACCAATATTGTTGTCTAGAAGACTGATACTGATCTATATGAGAATGATGAAAGCAAGTGAAGACTGTCATACATTTTTAGTTTGCCTGAGAGACTTTAATGATGGAAGATATCTGAAAAATAAAATGTCATTTTGTTTCACACCTTTTCGTCAGCTGCAAACAGCCTATAATTGAAATGGAATGTTAGTAGTTATAATGATGTAAATACTTCAGATATGTAGAAATAAATGAAGATTTGAAATCCAGGATTAACACAAAGGTAGTGAGTCAAGGAAACACAGGGTTAATAATCACAAATCAAAATCAACAGGAATTTATACGCATCTGATGAGAGAAAATTCTGGAGCTGTGGAAAAGGTGGACGGGGCAGGGAAGTAAGCAGACAGGATTGTAAGAGAAGGGGTTGTTAAAGAGTTACTAACTTATGGATAAAAACTGGAAATATGTTAGGCTGGATGATTAACAATCAGTAAATAATTAATGAAGAGATAATGCAATCAAAAGGAAACTACACACACACATATGCAAAAATTATATACGGCCATCATGGTAAAGAAAAGTTCATTACAGTCTTTTTCTAAGTATGTAGGGCAGGTTGATAATGTTTGATCACGAGAGCTTCCACAAATCGTGGCTGCAGCGAAGAAAAATGTGAGCTAGCAGAAGTTGGAAATATGGAGCGTTGAATTCCTACCCAGTGGTTCGATGGCAACGCGCTGGCCACGGAACCTAAAGGTCGCGGGTTCGATCCCTGGCGGGGTCGCGGGTGCACACTGCTGAGGAGTCCCATACTAGGACGAAACAGCTGCCCAGTGCTTCCAAGTTTCCTTTGTCCCTCCAACTGATGTCAGTCTACGACGAATAACAACTTGGAAAACGTTTCTTTTCAAAGAAGTCATTTACTAAGCTGAACATTTGTGAATATATGTTACAGTGGACAGAACGTTCCAGTATTATTTCCGGTTGGGGGGCAGAATATATTGAATCACTAAAAAAGGTTAATTAATAGGCATTTAGGTTTACGGTGGAAAAATAGACAAAGGATTATGAAATTAAATGTGATTATGCAATACAGGATGGATGGATGGCAAAGTAAGAAAATCAACGAAGGGTTTGATCTTACTCCCTTCACGTAGTCTGATTGAACTCTGTAGAGGATTTTGAATGAGCCCTCAAAAAGAGCTAAGTGGCCCAAATTCATAAGGTGTTCTGTTATTGAGTGAAGATACATTTCCATTCTCCCTTTCCCAGCCAGCCAGGCTAGGTAGTGTTTGTGGGCATGTTTTACAAGCGGACACATGGTACGACCGATGTATTCAGCTCCACGAGAGCAAGTAAAGTGGTATACACACACTTATGTGACCCAATGCGTCGGGTTGTCTTTCACTTATTGACCAAGAAATTTCTTGTAGGAGAAAATAATCTGAAGGTTGGCGGCGAAATATCTTCTGTTTAAGGGTTTTAACAGTCGTTCCCTGAGGATCTCTGCAGCAAGAAACGTTTGGGTCAATGTATGAAATACAACCCGACACACAGTTTGTGTTTACTTGCTCTTGTAGAGCTGAGTTTATCGGCCTTACCATGCTTCCTCATCTTAGTGACTAGCAGAGGAATCTTGGACGCGAGTCTCGTCTTATTTATGACTCGTCAGCTGGATATACGTGCATCCCAGTGAGTTATATTATTCCCAGTACCCTTCGCTCCAAACGTCAAAGTGTTGTCCACTAACCACATCACTGGGGAACGACAGCCACCTCTTGTATAGTAATTGAATTTCCATTGAATTCGAGTCCTGTCATATAGTCATGGAGTAAAGAACTATTCAAACTCAATGGTACCAGTCAGCTAACCTATAGTTTGCTCATCTTCATGGTCCAAGAGTTAATAACCTAAAAAGAATAGCACTCAGATTTTTCTGACAACCCTTAGACCCTATTACAATCGAATTTGATTTTAGTAACCATAGTTCATCCGGGTAATAATTATGTAAGTACACATAAAACATGATCATTTTCCAACGGTATGATCAAATATAGGCAGAACTATAAGAAACAAATATGATATGACGAATATGACATGATTCAAAATTCATAAAATAGTTCAGTGAATTCCTTTGTGGTAGAACTGTCTCTTGACATATATATAGCTGGCAGTATTCATGGCTTAAGTTAATAAATTTAAGAGGCACCTCTTTTTAATCTGTTTCCAAGTTGATATTCATGATGAACTGACATCAGTTGGAGGGACGTTGAAAACCTGAGAACAGTGGATAAGTGTTTTGTCCTAGTATGGGACTCCTCAGCAGTGAGAACTCATGACCCTGCCAGTGATCTGTGTCAAGACTACTTGAATAATCGGTTGTAGCAGAAGTGATTGAGCTCATCAAATACGTAGTGAGGTATTTATATTCAGTCATTCCCGTCTTCACTCAAATAAAGCATCAATATAGATCTATTACACAGCATCATCTTAAATTGGAACAGCAATGAAATACATGTTAAATATTTTCTCAATATGTTTAAAAGGCTATGCTTCATCGTGTATAAATAAAGCTACATAGTTTGCATACTCTAGACAAGCGATTTTTCTGCAGCAGATATCCTACACACCTTCCGTGTATATAACAACACTTGCTGAATTTTCATTCAACCATGAAATCATGGAATCTTTATCTTCAGATCAATACTGAATGCAGTGTAAAACATGAGTAATTAACTATTAAAAATGACACAGAGACCGTACACGCGAACAGAAATAAAAGAAATATGATCAAACTCAGAAGGATTGAATAACAATGGTTCCACACACACACACACACAGTGTAGCACTTGATAACTTTGTGAACATCTGTCCACCGGGCAATGAGCCACATCTGTTGTGTAAGAACCAGTAATACAACGTGGCTGTCTGAATCTTGGTAGGTGGAGTGGAGCAGAAACTCATGACCCAGTGACTGACACATAAACGCACACAGTATACATCCCTCACCAAAACGGTTTCATTTTCATGAGGTGGAACTGTTCTCACACCTATATCATATTCAATAAATCTTTATGCAATACGGAATCAAGTAATATGCCTTATAAAAAGAAACATCAGAAATATGAATACCAGCAGTATTAAAGATGATAGAGAAGACTACAAGTCCAGATAAGGATGTCTTGATTTCACATAGAAATACTCATCTAATTTCTTCGTGGGCAATTTGATAAACCTCAAGCATGCTTCTTGTAAAACTTCCAAACAAGGAGGATTTAAGTCTTTGCAAGAACTGGCACAAAATCATGCTCCTGTCTCTACCAAGCAAAATATTAAGCCACATCACCCTGGGGAGACTAAAAAATGCTCTTCATTCGAAATTACAACCAGAATAAGTTAGGGTTAGGGTTGGCTTCAGGAAAAAATCATGTGCTGATCGAATTGAAACGCTTCGCTACGCATCATCATAGAACAGAGCATAGAATAGCAGTCAACTGGATCTTTACCTCAACTTCATCGATTTTGAAAAGGTCTTTGACAGCGTTGATTGACAAGTGATTTGGCAGTCAGCTGCTTCAACA